TTTTCTAATATTTTTTTACTAGATCGACATTCTGGTCAACAATAGTGGAAGAAGCCATTGTTCTTGGTGTTTGGAAACCAGCATGGATATCTACAGAGAGCTAATTGAGCTTAACTACTTAGGGACGATATCCTTGACAAAGTGTGTTCTGCCTCACATGGTCAAGAGGAAGCAAGGAAAGATTATTACTGTGACTAGCATCCTGGGACATTTCTCTATGCCCGTTTCTAGTGCATATTGTGCCAGCAAACATGCTCTTCGGGTAAGGCTGCTCAAACTCAACTTTGATAGAACTGACTTAAGTGTTTATGGGGGATATGGTCATTACTGCAGGAGGTCATTGGAACTGGTCAGAGACCCAAGGAGACCTTTGGTAGAAGACATTCCAGAAGATGCTCAAAGACTTCAGCCTCACATACCTCTTCCTAATTCAACAAACATGTATTGAGCACCTACACTGTACCATGCACTACAATAGATCCTGGTGATATAAAGATGATAAGATATGGTCCTTGCTCTCAAGAAATATAGTCGAGTCCAGGGGTCTCCAACCCCTGGGCCATGAACTGGTACTTGCCTGTGGCCTGTTAGGAACTGGGCTACACAGCAGGAGGTGAGCAGTGGGAGAGTGAGCAAAGCTTTATCTGTATTTGCAGCCACTCCCAAGTACTAGCATCACTGCTTCAGCTCCAACTCAGGTCATCAGGCATTAGATTCTCATAGGAGCACTGGTCCCTGGTGTCCAAAAGGTTAGGCCACTGGTCTAGTCAACATATCACCCTTCGCCTTCTCAGTTCTACCATGTCTTCATGGCAAATTTGGGGTCTACCTCTCATTTCTTCTACACACACTTTAGGGTGTAGTTTTCTCCCCATTTCTGTGATTCTTGTTCTTTCCCCCTTTGTAGGTGGGGTTAATTTTACCTAGTCTAAACATAAAAGCATGTCAGAAATAGAAACTGCCCACTGGATGATTAGCCCTGGGCTTCATATTCTTACTGGGGCTAGCTTTGACTCTATTTACCTTGAATTCATTGGAAGAAGAAAATCTAGTCAAGGCAGAGGTTAGGAGAAAAGCTTGATTTGAGTTGCTTAACTTATGAGATGTGAATATTAGAAACAAGTGCATTTTTAATGTTGGCTAAGAGTAGATATGAAGAAATATTATTAAACTATAACATGGAACAAATTAAATCATAAGGCTAAGAGTAGGCAAATGATTAAAGGAGATACATAATTTGTAATTAATGCTGCTGAAAATCAGTTAATATAGAATGTTTCAGTGTTGGAATGATGAGATGCAATAGCCGAATGATCATTAGTTTTATAAAATTCGAAGCTTTGGTTCCTTCTTTCTGATGTAAGAAGCAGATATTTGATAAGAGTGATGAAATGGAATGTTACATTGATGATTTCCTTATATTTTGTAATAGGGTATCAGTCACTTCCTGCAGAGCAGTTGGGCAAGTCTCAGGCTGTTAGATAAGGGAAGGTGGCTGCCCCACCTGTTTGGCACCAAGTATCTCATAAGACATGCAAGATGCTTTCAGTCAAACAATATGGCCTGCTCTTCAAGACACTGTTACTGGATTTGATCCTCTGATACAATGCGGCAGGTTGAGAATAGTTAGTTATACTAGTAGCTGAACACTGGGACCAGAAGGCTCTTGGAAGAACACATTTCCTTCTCTGAATCCCATCAAGCTATAGAGTGAGCTTGTTTGTCTCTGAAAAGTTCACATGCTATACTAAATGTGATTTCAAACAAGGAGAGGTTTTACTGTGTGATGGATTGGCTCTCACAGTGTCCTCTCTCTTGCTAAAGGGGGAAGCAGAAGGTTAAGGCTATGGGAGTTCATTCATTTAGGGAGCTTTTTTTTTCCCTATCCACCTGAGTCAGGCACTGTAGTAGTCTGACGGCATGAACCATCATAGGCTGTTTTTGTTAGGGATCAGCATTAAGGGCTGGTAATTATTTAATTTTGTTGGTTCATAAATGAATGTACCTTATTAGCTGTTTAGGCTTTTCAGTAGTTAGCTTATACCAGTATAGTCTTGGAACATTTCCTAATTTAGGAAAAGAGAAGAGGGGAAGTAGATGTTTACTCTGTATTTGGTTTAGAAATGGCCAGTATCTTTAAGTCTAGGGAGTCTTACTACCCAGAAAAGATGGATGTTGGCTGAAACTAATTGTTAAAATTTTAATAAAATAGAAAAAAGTTGAATTCTTCCTCAGTGAGAGTTTCTGTTGAGTACTAATCCCCTCTCACTCTCTCTTGCCCCAATATTAGTACGTTAGACCACTTGGAGGGGTAGAAGGAAACCAAACCTGAGTGATGCTCAGTGGAGAACATGTACTCCTTTTGGAGTGGGGAGATGGGGATTAGTGTAAGGAGTGTGTATCAGAATCTCCAGGGGGTAGTTTTTCACCTATCTAGCACTTACCATAAAAATCACTGATGGCATGAGCCACCACTACCAAAGAGGTGAATCATTCATACCCGGAAAGAGCTATGAATGCCAGTTCTAGATTGCCTCCAGTCTTACAGTTAAAAATGCCTAATAAGCCTGCACGATTACGTTTCCTGTCCTTTACTCAGGTATTTCAGAACATAGTTCTATAATGTGCTATTGTCCTTCATCAAATGTTGAAGTAATTTCATGCTAATATACTTATCTGTATTTTAAAAAAATTTCCTTTCTTCTTTTCTTTTTTCTTTTTGCTTACTAGGGTTTTTTAAATTCCCTCAGAATTGAACTTGCCACATACCCAGGTATAGTAGTTTCTAACATTTGCCCAGGACCTGTGCAATCAAATATGATGAAGAATTCCTTAACTAAAGATGTCACAACGGTAAAAATTTTTAGTTGGGGTATAATTTGAGTGGTTTAGTAGTTACGTATTGGTGTTATATCACTATGCCTCATGGTTTTCATGTTAGAACTGCTTAAAACTTATTTACAAAACTTAATTGATGACATTTGGAAAATTGTTAAGGTTAACTGATAGTGCTTTGGCAGCCAGTTTTAATCAAGGCTAAAGAAATTGCTAAGATCCTGCTTATAAGTAATCCAGTATGATGTGATCTAAAAACCTATCAATTCACAAATTATAGCAATACTGAAAAGTTCTCTGTGTAGCTGAATTTTAGTATATTAAATCTTACTGGGCTTTTAAAGAGGAATTACAGTGAAAGAGCTTAGAAGAAGCCTTGTTGAATTGTGATGATTTTAGGTTAGCCTCACCCAGGTCTGTGATTCCCTCAGCTCAGATTACAAGTAATAATTTATCAAATGAATAGCAAATGTCTTGTGAAGAATCCAGTCTCACTTAATAATACAAAATCCCTCTAAAGACCATGAAATTTTCCTTCTTCTCCATGAAGATTTATCCTGAGACAAATGTAAGTATTACTGCTTCTATATAAATGGCCACAGATATAATTTATGTTTTCGCATTGTCTGTGGAGGCTTTAAAGTACAATAGGATAAGCACCCAATTATAGGAATCAAGGTGCTTGGGATGTAGACCTGGTTATTACAATGATCTGTGTAAACACAGATGAGTTACTATCTTTCTGGGCCTCAGTTTATTTATAAATGGTAGCAGGTTAACCAGGTTAGCAGTACCAGGTTTCTTTACTACCAAAAAATCACTTTTATCTTTTATCTCCATTTGACTCCCATGGACTCTATGCTTTATAGAATTTCATTTGTTAAATATATATGTTAATAATTTGTTAAAAAATTTTTATTACTAAAGGGATATATACTTGTTAAGTACATTAAGATGATACAATTCTAATTAAAAGCAAAGAAACTTCATCTTTTAATTAGGGTGCATAATCTTATCTGGTAAGTGCATGATTCTTGTTAGGCTTTTTGAAATGACAAAGAGCTGACAGACATCCATTAGTATCTATTGGAGATTCCTAAGGGGCATGAAGTCACATTAAAGGACTCACTCAGCTAAATAACTGCTGGGTCCTTTCTAGCTTAAAAATTCTGTGAAATACCTTATACAAATACTCAGCATTCTCTTAATTGTCAAAAATTTCTTAGATTTTAGGTCATAATGGAGATCAGTATCGCCAGATGGTGACCAGTCGTTGTGTGTGGCTGATACTAATCAGCATGGCCAATGATTTGAAAGAGGTTTGGATCGCGGAGCAGCCTTTTTTGTTAATGTTGTATTTGTGGCAATATATGCCAACCTGGTCCTCGTGGGTAATAAATAAAGTAGGGAAGAGGATTGTGTGGTAAGAACAATTTATATATTTCTTAATACATACTGATCTTGTAAGAAAGTATGAAATTTTCTAGTGCTTAAAAACTTTCCTTACTAACCCTCCACCAACTTCATGATATAAATACAAAATATAAAAAGGATTCTATCCTCCATGCATGTCTGTTGGTTTACTACTGGTCTTGGAGAAAGTTTTCTACAAGGTAAAGTCAAATCAAAGATTGCCATTTTTTCTTCTACTGTTTGACCAGTATATGTGCCAGATGTTCTTTCTCCTCACAGACTCCTACTCATCTTACAAGTGTCAGCTCTGGTGTAGTAACCTCCTTAGTTTGATAACTGGCTTTCTCTCTCATTTCTCCCCAGAATGATGTGAACCTCAGCCCCGTGTTTACCTGTTAAAACATTTACTGAGCTTTTAAAATAGATGCACTTTCACTGCATAGTACTGGTTACTTTGACTTGTTCTGGAAGTACTTGGCACATCTGAGATGTGCCTATGTCCATGTCTAAGAAAATATGCTGGTCACTCATTCTTTCAGCATTCATTATTAAAGAGAAGTGAGGAATATTATGAACTATTTCTGAGAAGAGTGTCACCATTGAAAGAATTTAATATGTCAACAGCACAGGAAATGTAATGAGTTAAGCCAAATATTATATATATGATTACGCAAAGGTTATTTCTGTGGATGGTTTTATCGAAGTATTTCTTTCAGTGATTACTACCTGCTTTTAGAAAAAAGTTAGTAGGGATTGATATCTAAAGAGAATTATAAAATGGGATCATACCATACGTATCATTATCTAACCTAGCACTATTTAAGCAATCCAGGAATTGTTAGACATTTTAATTTGCTCCATCTTTTTGCAGAACAGTAAAAATGAATTACTGACAAAAGCAAAAACCAAAATGCTTAAAGAAACTTAAAGGTTATTAAAACTTCTGTGATGCACTAACCTGTCCAGAGCTTGAAAAATCACGAAGGAGGTGTGGGGCTACACATTTTCTACCAACTTGTACTGTGGACCAGTTTGCTTTGGGCCGAATCACTTATAAGTGTTTTGGTAGTGTTGGGGCTTGATAGTGTGGCATGGTTCTAAAGGTACAGCTTCATCAAAGATTACATCTGAGTTTTAATAGTGGTATTGTGCTCAGTGATGGATAAGAGTTAAGAGGGAAAGGCCACCTTCTAGGGAGGTGATATAGTATCTGGTGCCAGGCTACCTGGGTTGAAATTCCAGCTCTACCCTATTCTCCTCCCATGACCTCAGTTACTTCTCTGTAAGTCAATATCCTCATCTACAAAATGGAGATTAATGATGACAATAGCACCTAGTCATAGAATTGTTGTGGGGATAGAATGAGTTAGTATGTGGAAAACTCTTAAATATACCTTCGGGTATAATGCTTATAAAGGATTAGCTGTTAATGCTTTTGTTTTGATGGTAGCAGGATATCTAGCTAATAGATAGTAAAGATTAAAGAGTTAAATAATAGGGCAGAGAGACAATACATTATAGAAATAATTGTTTCGGAGGTGAAAGAAGGACCAGGGGCTAGAGTTTCAGTACCACTGTAGCAGTTGTTCTTTCAGGAATGTCCATAAGAAGGTTATTTTGCTTTGTTTACAGAATATGTAACTGTAAAATAGAAACATTACTCAGTAATCTAGCATTTGATTACATCTAACATTTGCCAAAAACTATGGCCTTTCTCTTCCTACCACCATTTAAAAAATATTGCTTATTATGAGGCCTTACTGCTTTATCAATTTTTTATGATAAAATGGGCATCCTTTCATTTGCCAGTACCATTTCTGAGATAATATCTCATTCTTTACACAAAAACCATAGTTTTGAAAATTGTTTCACATTTTTTACTCATTTCTATCCTCTTTGCTTTCCTCCCCATTATTTTCTGTTGTGTATATTCATCTTCGTATTGCAATTTGTTTATAAGTATCTAAGTTAAGAGAATGCCAATAATTTATCCTAAACTAAATATACTTAGTGATAATACTTGAATGTTTCTGTCTTTCAAGTTAGGGACTGTATGTCTGGAACTTTGTTTTGATAAATCTTTATTATTTTTAGGGATTGAGAACAATAGCTGCATTGAGTTTTGTTACAATTTTTGTCTTAGTGCAAATTCTGGTAAGTAATAAGTGCAATCTTCCCAAATGAAATGTCACATCTTAGGGGTATTGAGTTGCCTTGCTGTTTTACATTTTAAGCAATATACTAAAAGTTTGCATATCATTTTCGAGTTATCTATCAAATATTTCTATTTAAATACTCCGATTCTTTGTAATTATTAAGGCAAGTCAGTGTCAGTATGATATGCTGTTCTAAAACATTAATAATAGAGATTTCAGCATTTCCAAAATGATATGAGTAGATTCTTACCAATGATAGTGGAGATAATAATGCTAAGCTCATTAGATATTTTTGTGTAGATCCAGAATTTTAGCTATGATTTTTATTCTAATTTAAGCATTTGCCACAGTTTTATAAGGATTCTCAACAGTGAATCATAATGATATAGCTCCTCAAAACAGAAATGTCAGAAATTGGGGTAAATACAAGGAGGGACTGATTCGTGTTACTGTCACTTTTACAGAATACAGATGATTTTAGAATCTGGAAGAGAAAACGTGATTGAAGAAGTACTTACATTTTTTAAGCCACTGGAAAGAGAAACAGAAAACATGAAAAATAGCCATCTTCTTATGCACTTAAGACTAACTTGTGATTTTATTTCTTAATAATACAACTTTCAACATGTAATAAATAACAAATAAAGATTGTGATGAATCTTGTAATAGATATAGTAATACATACTTCATTCTTGGATAAAAGAACATTTTAACATACTCTAGCTTTTAGTCCAAAAAGTTATACTTTAACATTGCGGTACTGAATGAACTGTTCCACATACTGAATAAATGGAAAAATAAAAATCTGATCACTACATTTCAAATAATTTCCATCATTTCTAAAGAGAATGTTATTGCGTACTACTAACCTAGTAAGTTACTATGGATTTAATTGTAAATAAAATAAGAGGTGGAAGAAATTCATGTCTCAAGTGATATTCATTGTACATCCTCCTTATAAGTAACTGTAAAAAGTTCATAAGCAGCTAGAGAATGAAAATAAAATCCTGATCACATTATGAAAAATTTTCTCCCATCTCTGTTTTTAGTTCAGATACCTTAAGACACTAGTAACTGGTAGTCCTATCGGTTAAGTCATTCTTCAGAAGCAGTATATTCAGTTGAAAAGAAGAGAGTGGCCTCTAGCAGTCATACATACTCAGGTTACCCTAACATTACTAATCCTGTGAGTAGTAAATGATGAATGGGATAAATCCCTTCTTTCATGTGTATCAAAAGGATACTTGGAAAAAACTTTATTGGAATAGATTTTATTAAAAATTTTTAAGGTTTTTTAATTAAAGTATATGAAAATAAACTAATTATATGAAAATGACCAGACCATGTTAAATGTTAAAATAAAACAGCACAAAGTTTGAAAATACTATAAAATTTAATTGTATTTCAGATAAATATATATACATTATATGGCCTTCAACAGCATCCTTTATAACTTAAAAACACCAAGATGTATACCTTTTCAGTATATAAAAATTACATAGCTATTGACTTTTGTAAGATAAGTCACCTATCATAAGAAAGCATTAAAAAATTTATTATCTAATCTTATACAAATGTTTTATATTTACCAAAGCCTACCACAATCCATAGGGCACAAATATTGGCCAACAGTTCTCACTTTTATGTTAGATATAAAGTTGGGTTTTTTAAACCATTAAGATAGCTAAGAGAATCAACTTTATAGAGCTTAGCTTTTCTAAGACATCTGACGTGTGAGGGGAAGGAAGTTCAGTGAAATTATGATAAATTATATTGTTATTCTTCTAGAATGAAAAAATAAAGACATTTGATGACAATACATTTACAAGCCAAAATGAGCTCTAAAACAAATGTATATGGAGAGGTTTTGAAGAATAAATTGGATAGCCCAAGGGAGGATCAGCCGCTTGTATTGTAAGATTTCTTAAAAGTAGTGGATGAGCTTGTATACTATAACGTTCCTCATCATCATTTGTGGCATAAAGCAATTCCCATGAAAGATTGGCCCACTGACCTCTAACAGCTTCGGCATTTAACTTCCCAACTTGGATCAATAATTCTTGAAGGGTAAGTACTCTCCCAGTGTAAACTCCCTTTAAAATATAAAAAAGGTGGGGGGAGAAAAAAAAGATTATATTCAGGCCTTTATATTTTATTTATAAACTCAGAAAAAAATTCCATTGTACTGAGGCAAATTTAAACAGAAAGTTGTATATTAAAATGCACAAACATGAGTTGCTTGTCTTTTCAGAATCAAGAAATTACCTCTATTTGATAATACTCTGAATAAGTATGAAAGGAAAAATTCTTTGACAGTCATTTAACTCAATGAACAAGACAGCAAAATCTCACTACTCTTTCCTTATTTTCTTTCATCCCATTTGGCCTCAGAATGTATAAGTCATAAATAATAGTGGACAATCGACAACAGGCTTTTAAAAACAGCTTCACTGAGATATAATTCAATCTACAATTTACTCATGCAAAGTGTACAACTAAACAGTTTTTTTGGGGTATATTCAGATATGTACAATTATCACCAGAGTCAATTTTAGAAATTTTCATGACTTCAAAAAGAAACCTTGTGCTCTTTAGCTAATTACCCTCTTATCTCTTCATTCCCTCTGTCCTAAACAACCACTAATGTACTTTCTATTTCTATAGATGTGCCTTTTCTGGAAAGTTCATATGAATGAAATCATATAATACATGGTCTTTTGTGATAGGCTTCTTTAACTTAGCATGTTCTCAAGGTTCATTCATGTTGTGCTATGAATCAGTACTTCATTCTTTTTTATGGTTGAATAATATTCCACTGTATGGATATACCACAATTTTCTAATTCATTCATCAGTTGATAGACAGTGGGTTATTTCTACCTTTTGGTAATTATAAATAATGCTGTTATAAACATCCACGTACAAGTTTCAATGTGGATGTATGTTTTCATTTCTCTCGGGTATATACCTAGGAGTAGAATAACTGGGTCATATGGTAACTCTATGTTTAATCATTTGAGAAACTGCCAGAATATTTTCCAAAGTGGTTGCACCATTTTATATTTCCATCAATGCTGCATTAGTTCTGATTTCTCCATATCCTTACCAACACTTATTCTCTGACTTTTTGATTTTAGCATCCTATTGTGTATGAAGTAATATCTCATTGTGGTTTTGATTTGCATTTCCCTGATGATGAATGATGTTGAACATCTTTTCACGTGCTTACTAGCTCCATCTATATATCACTTCTCCTTTGGAGAAATGTCTATACTGACCCTTTTTTCAATTTAAACTGGGTTATTTGTCTTTTTATTGAGTTGTAAGAGTGCTTTATATATTCTAGTAATAAGTCTCTCATCTAATATATACAATTTTTTCCCATTCTGTATGTCTTTTCACTTTCTTGATGGTATTCTTTGAAGCACAAGTTTTTACTTTTGATGAAGTCCTATTTACCTTTTTGTTTGTTTCTTATACTTATTGTGTAATATCTAAGACATCT